CTCAGAGCTTCAGGAAACCTTCCCCCAATCAATTCACAGAGAAGTGTGTCTTCATGAGCTTTATACATTTTATTCAGAACAGGGCCTGGCAGACACAGATCACAGAACTGCATGAGATCTGGCTCTCTGAGGTCTCTGGCCCCTGGCCACTGCCACTCTCCGATTTCTTTCTAGTCGGCTATTTTGGGCATCTAGCTGCACTACTCCAATTGCTTTGGGTCATTTCTCCTCCACTATCCAACTTATGTGTCTGATTTCTCCAGTCTCCCCTTAGTCACCTTCAGAATTCTGCAGTTTGTATTGCTCACCCCAAAACCAGGGCCCTAGATTTATTTTCCAGGCAAGCTACAATGCAGTGCAGGATGCAACCGGGCAGCAGTCTTACTTACTTACTCATTATCAAGGTCTTCACAATAACTAGTCACATCATGGCCATAAATTAAAGCCCAGTTGAGAATTAAATTGCTAATTTACAGATAGCAGAGGCTGTTGAGAATAAATTGATGAGAACACTTTTTTTTCCCCACCAGAAATAATTCTAGGTAGTGCTATGTATTTTTCTCAACAGTGAAATCCATCTGTTTTGTAAAATTCTAAAATCTTTCATGTTAGAGCTGCCATTCCTTTCTCTGGGGAAAAAAAGGGGAGCAAGGGAGTTCAGGGTTCCCACTAAATGCCTTTCTGTTCCTTTGTCACAGTGTTATCTTGTTTTACAAGTGCTCTGTTTACGAGAATGCCATGAAGAAAAATGTTCATTTGAGTTCCATAATCACATAAGACTACTTTGTAAGGGCTTGATCCAGCAGAATACAGTCTCAGCAGCTGCTTGCTCACAAAACTTTGCAATTGTGGAGACTAATTAAGATTCTTCAGAGGAACTCCCTTCTCTTTGGTGGTTACAGAATGCCTCATTAGACATTCTGTACCTCCCCCTTCTCCAGAACAGTCGGTCTAACTGTGCCTAGCCTACATTTATAGCTTTTATGAATTACCAATTGATTCCATAATCTCACTGCTTTGTCTCTGAATAAAGTAGCTTCCTTTAAAGGAAAAAGTAGCATTCCACACAACTCTTCTAAAACAGAGTTAAGTTAGTTGTTACAGTGAACTCAGGGGAGTACCTCACCTTCTCTTCAAGGCTGTAAGGAGTCAAGGATTTGCATGTCATAATAAAGAGAGGATGCAATTACAAATGAAAAAGAAAGAAAGGAAAAAAAGCTATTAGGAGCTGATAGTGAAAGTTAAGGAGAGCCTCACCACTGTCCGAGATGCATTCAAAAAACAAAACAAAACAAAACAAAAAAACAGTGAAATGACTTTCAAATCAACTTGACAGGGCTTGATACATTCATTTAGCAGTCTTCATCCCTGTGCCCAATTTTTTATGTTGATCCATATTAGCTACAGCAAAATTTCTTCACTATCAAGCTCAAGCAATGTCACTTCAGTAATATTATATCTACTATCTCCACAGACGCAGAGTTATTGCCAACAGGACAAATATTGGGGTTATGAAAATAGCTGGCATCACTATACAAATGGTATAACCTTGGCTATCCTCAGTGGTAATTCTGGTATGCTAATAATTTTGTTTTCAGTTCTAAGAATAAAAATCATATTTATAAATCATTATTTTCAATTATTCATATTTTCCTAATACTTTTTCTTATTTTGAGCAAAGATTTCTTAATGTAAATAGTAGTAAGCCAAGGTACGTTCAATTCCAAACTTTTTTTGATTTTTAAATGACCTTCTTTAATGTCAAACAGTTTTAAAGCACACTTTAAAAAAAGAATTAATGGTAGATATGGGAGACATCATTTGCTATATTTTACATCTAGAAAGACTAATTAATTATACTGTTTTACAAAAATTCAAGCTGGGATATTCTTCCTTGCTAGCAGGTAAATAAAAGTCTTATTCTGCACTGTCTGAAGCTTTTGAAAATATTTACTCCTTCTCAAATGGACTATTAAGATATTTAAGCTTTCATAACATTTATTGGACAAAGACAAAAACAGATAAAACAAAATGCTTTATTCTCTGGGAATACAGTGGAAAATATTACGGTTCCCCATATTATTTAATTTTTTTTTTTTAAAGGCATTCTCTTTTCTTTGAATACAGCAATATATATACAGACAAAATGATCTGTAGTTTAGCAATCTTATTTTTTTCTGCTGAATAAGATTTTCTTTCTTTTTTTTTAACATTCTAATAAATGGGGATTTGAATAAACTACTACAACACGTTCAGCTGCATTTATATTTCCTACTGGATGATGCCATCTCTGCAGCTCAAACATGTAGGAGCAGAATAGGAGGCTGAAAATGCAACACTGATTTGTAGTTATTACAATTCTCACCAAGTTGCTGTGCAGCAAACCGCAAAACTTCACCACTGCCACAATAAAAGAGTGAGAAAGCCACAAGGTAAATTGTTTGTCTGTCTCTCTCTCTCTCTTTTCTTAACAGAGACTTGCAGGCTAGCTTTCTGTCGCTGGAACTCTACTGCTGTTTGGTTTAAAGTTGAGAAACTACTCATTATTTTGTTATGTGTTCCTGGAAAAAAGTCTACATTTCTGTTTATCCCCCACTGCCAGAATCCGTAGCTTTTCTTTTTAAGTGCTGCAGAAAAAAGATCAAAGGTAATATACAATAATTTCTCTACTTCTCTGTGGGCAGGTGTTCTAAAGAGCACAAAAAATTGTAAGAATATTTGAAAGTTTAACTGTATAAATTACTCCAATCTTCCCAAAACTTCTATCATAATGTCCAAATACTGTTGAGAGGGGAGGTGGGAAAGGGGGAAACCATTATTTATTCTGAGTTAAGCTTTCATTTCTAAAAACGTCTTAATGACTCTGCAAAAGTATTATTTTCAACAGACAGTAAGTGAATATTTGGCAAAATGTTTGCAAATTGAAACAGGATATAATGTTGTCTAAATCTGAAATAGCAAATCCCAAAATATCTAATGCCTTTCTTTATTCAGATTAGACATAACAAATGTGTCAGGTACAGCAGTTAGTCTAGAAAAATACATTTAAAAAATCTTCAGCAGACCATGTTCCCTGTAACAAAATCTTCCAAAACCAATTTTACAAATTAATCTACATTAATGTAAAAAGGAATTCTCAAATTTAGCATCATCACTGTTTCCATCAAACATCTATCTATGAAAACATGGGTTTCCACTATCTGTAGATGTTAGAATTCATTATACATTTCTCTAATGTATCCTGTACATATTAAATAATCTAAAAGGCTCCTCTTGTAGTGCATTAACAATTTAGCAAGCACACACACAGTATTTTTCCAGTACCATTTGCATTATATTTATTTGCCTGCAAATGTAATTAACATCTAAAAGTGCACGCAGTTAGCTTTCCCAAACAATCTGTTTCTCTGCAGAAACCCAAACTGGAAGTATTAAGCTACCTGTAGCTACTCTATTCATGATTAGAAATGTGTGACTAGAAGGTACTTTGAGACTATACAACTGATTTTATGTACATAAGCCAAAGGCCATTCAGTCTTTAGCATGTATTTACATTCACTAGCACAGGATCATAGTGAAAACTCAGTATAGCATTAGAAAAGATCGGTATTTACTTAGGATTGTTAGCTGCAAATTAATATAGCACAAACTGTGACCCAAGAAATACCCTGAAAATGGACTTGTGTATTAAATAAAAATTCTAGATCACCACAGAACAAATATCCTCTGC